CCCGATATATCGGCCGGCCGATATATCGGTCGACCTCTAGCTGCTTCTCATTGGTTACATAACACTTTCCTACTATTCGACTATGAGGTTCATAGTCGAATCAGACGTCTACGAATCGAATCGTCGAATCCTCGACTATTAGAAGTCAGCCCTAGTAAATGCAAATTATTCTCACCAGTGGCGACAATCAATCCCAATAATCAATGAAACACACAAGCAGTTGCAAAGCTATTCACAATTGGACGTGCCATCATCACCCACCTTCACACACGGACTGGGGAGCCCATTCTTTCTCTGGAGCTACTAGCATCTGTCATACGCTCGTCCGTTTCATACTCCCCTATTCATCTTTATTATATTGCCCTTTTCATCTTTATTATAAATTTAAACATTATCCTCAATTAAACTGTAATTGAATTCCTCTTGAATTTCAGTCCTGGCAGGAGACCAACACGTAAGTCCCGAGAAAGTGCCGGGCGATGCGGCTCTATTCCATGGCTGACTCCGGTCAGTACTGAGTTTTCCCGCTTCCTTTATATTAAATCGGGAGCGGTACGCGTGCGGGCAGGGGGGCGAGCTGGCCAGGCTCACCCCTCCCCACAGGCGATGCGCTCTTCGTTGGCCAATTCCTGTCCGGGTGAGGCTGCTTGCGCTTACAGTTACAAAGCATTTTGGGTAACGCTTTCCCTTTTCCTCTGGGAAAGACAAGATAAGCATCCCTTTCCCCAGAGAAAGACAAGACAGGTGTCCTAGCTTTCTCTCTGAGAAACAAGTTATTTGTTAGAAACAAGTTATATAAGTGATCAATGAAAAAACATGTTTGTGCTGTTCAACCGAGGCACAATAATAATATGGGTGAATCATGGTCGACATATTTGAATCTCGGGATGATTAGTCCATACACTACATGATCAGAATCAATCCATACCTCAATCACCCCGTATGTACAGTATGCCTATTGTGTGGTGGTGGTGGGGTGGTTGGAGATACTCCACCAAACTGTGAGTAATGGGACCGAACAATCACAACTTCCCAAATCATTACAGTAACAGGGGGACAATGAATTTCTGTAATTCTATGATACGTGGGTGACGTAGCCATCGGGGGGGGGGGGCTCACCTGAAAGTTTATCTCAATACAACTATGATAATGGAGCAAAGCCTAGTCAGTTTTTAGCTCTGAAGCTCCATCAATGTGACTCCTTTCCTACTATTTTGTGTGTGAAATCCAAAGATGGTATTATAAGCAATAATCCTTATTATTAGTTATAATAATTGCATTGGATTATTTAATATTGGATTATCCTCTGTTCCATATGCTGTCCTCAGTCATAACTTCCTTTGAATGCCATCCCTCTATAAACTCTGTGATAATTTCTTTACTGTTAAAACATGGTAAGGACCCTGCTGATTGTTCCAGCTACCGTTCCCATTCATTAATGAATTCAGACGTGAAGCTGCTGGTGATGATGTTAGCTCACCATCTTCAATCAGTAATAGCTGAACTTGTACATCCCGATCAGACTGGTTTTATTTCATCTCGCTACGCAGCTGACAATTTCTCTCATCTTTTGCATATTGTCACTTACAATTTCTCCAAGTCTGTCCCACAGCACTTTTTTCATTAGGTGCCGGGAAGGCTTTCGACAGGCTTAATTGGTGCTAACTTTGGAAAGTTTTACAAGCTATGGGCTTTGGACCTTCTTTAATTAATTGTGATAACATTATATTAATCTCCGAATGCCTGTCACTTCCGAATGATAACATCACAGCCGTTCTGTATTCAGAGAGGTGCTCTTCAGGGCTGCCCATTGTCAGCCCTCCTTTTTATTCTTTCTTTGGAGCTACTAGCAGCTGTCACACACTCGTCTGTTTCATACCCCCCTACTGTTGTCTATAACATCTCTCATCTCACTATATACCAATGATGTACTAATGTATTTGGGGGATGTATCATCTGACCTTCCATTTGTGCTTGACTTGTTCCATGAGTATGAAAGTATTTCTGCATATAAAATGAATTGGGACAAGTCAGCATTACTCCCCTTAAACTCTGCCTGCAGGTCCCTAGTGCTTCTCTCATATATTCCAGTAGTTCATTCATTTAAATATTTAGGCATCACAAATACATCCTCCATTTAAAGCATCACTACTTTGAATTTCAGCCACGTGTTTGATGGCATTAAACATTGAATAAATAGCTAAAAGTCTACGTCACTGTCATTCCAGTCGTGATTGGCTACTATGAAAATGAATGTTCTGTCCTGCTTAAACTCTTTAAATGCTATGCGGCCATTATCACCTCCTTCCCACTACTTTAAAGATGTAAGATCAATTCTATCGTCTTTTCTGTGGAACATCCATAAGCCTCAGATAAAGTACTTCTTCCTGACCCTTTCTAGAGATAATGGGGCCGTTGCCTTATTGAATTATGAATGGTATCCATTGGTCCTTTGTTATCCATTCAGTCTGACACAGACTTGAGCCTCCCATATTACCACCCTCCTGGTTTTTGTTTGACAAGATTGTGATAGTCAGCAGTATGATTTTTTGTAATCAATTTTGATCTTTACTTGAGGGTGCATGAATAATGTAGTAGTATGTGCTTACTTAATGCATTAATTAACCAGTAATAAAGTGTTAGTTACATGCTGATCTCATGCTTGTTCATCATTAATCAATCATGACAGTACGTGTACTCCATTGAGGCACCACATTAGTGAACAGTTAACTAATTAGCGAATAATGATAAGACTACACTTGAGGGGGCAAAAATTACTTAACCCATTTAAAACTTAAGAACAAATCAGGAACTAATATAGATTTCCCCATGAAATACATGAACTGGCATGATTGATTAATGATGAATGATCATGGAATCAGTACTTAAAAAACACTTAGTTACTGGCCAATTAATGCATTAAGTAAGTATGTACTACTACTACATTATTCATGTCCCCTCAAGTAAAGATCAAAATTGATTACAAGAAAATCATAATGCTGACTTCCCCAATGTACATCAAGCCAGGTTTTCTTAATGAAACCAAAATTACTTCTCAAGCATGTGCATATAAAGGCATGTGCAGCAATCATCTAATCATTTAATTATGAATTGTAACAGGGCTACATATTTCAATGAAGTGGAACAGAGTATTATTATGGTAAAATATGAAGAATTCAGAAGTATAATAATGGTGAAGGGCAAAACTGGCTGCCAACGAAGACATGCTACAGTAGATCAGTGACATCCGTATGTATCAGTGCAGCTTGATTGTCCTTAACAAAATCCCAGCAATTATCTTAATCTACAAACATGTTCTTTATCATTTTCATAATCATTTAGTCTAACTATTCATAGTCCTTTTTTTTAATCCAGTATTAAATGAACTTGTCACCTTTCAAAATCAATTTAATATGACAGTCCTTCATCCATCCATCACTCATTCTCTCTCTCTCCCACACACACACACACACACACACACACACACACACAGCATGAGAATGTGGCTAGAAAAGATGACAAAGGTGTAGACATGTTCTCATAGAATAACATCCATGTTCATTTATAATTACATCATTCAAAGTGCAAAGGGAAGAGTAAATGGACTAATATCTATAAAACTGAGGTAAACATATTTGTTAAAGTGTGGTTTAAACAATAGAATATGGGAGACAATGCACACCATTTCATTTTCAGATTAATAACTATACTTTGTGCATTAACCACTAGCTACTGAACATGAAGTACACATGTGACCATTTAAATATTAATTAAAATTCACCTGTAAAATAATCTGGAAAACCAGGGGCATGCAAGTGAACTATCAACTCAAACTGCTGAACCAATATCTCGTTACAGCAGAGCTTGCTTCTTTTCATAGATATTAGTAAAATTTAATGCAAAAAGCAAAAATGATTTGTGTCCATCTCAAAGTTCTCCGGTTAAGTAAAGGAATCTGGGTTGTGATACAGACCCCAGCTGCTGCAGCAGAAGTAAACAAAGAGGATTTTGTTCCTTGTTGCCATGGAAAATAAGCAAAATACATATTCTTGCAAAACATGCTAGTGTGATCACATTGTTCTCGATTGCTTCCAGTTTGATTGTATAAACCAGGGTTCTTCAAATCTGGACCTCGAATCCAAATCCAGACCTTGTTTTCAGTTCTCCCAGGTAGTTAATTTAATAATTACTGATTCTGATTGGTCAGAGGCTTCACACCTGACTGACAGGTAAAGGAAGGCTGGAAAACCAGCAGTGCTCGTACCTCGAGGACCGTGATTTGAATAACCCTGGTATAAACAAATTGTTTCCTCTACTGCAACTTATTCAAGATGGTGAATATTTTACAGAAACTTCATCGATGAATAAGTTCAAACAATTCTTCCAACGGAAGCCAAGCTTGACTTCAGGTAAGCTTTTCAGTCCATCTCAGATTTGATATCTACTGTCCATAATGATTCACTTTCAGTCAAACAAATGTATAATGTTCCTGTCTTTTCCAGAAGTGGACAGTTCAGGTTCAGAAAGTACAAATACAAATCAAAACTTTGTTTCAACCAACCACATAGGTGGATGAATGACACACAGAAGAACACTATCTGTAGGGTTTGCAGAGATGCTTCCTGTTCACCACAATCATAATTCATCCTTAAATTCCATCTCTCATCCACAGTGAAAGTGCATGTGCTGATTACGGGACAAACGTTCAAGAGTCATCTTATCTTCATTCAAAAGCTGAATCTGCACATAGAGGACTGCAGTGCAGAGAGCAGCAGCGTCATCCTGGTCTTCTGTCCTGTTGTTTCTCAGATTGGGACAGACATGGAGGCAGCAATGGCCAGAGTTACAGGTGAG